ACTCTTTCTTTGCATAGTATCACAGATAAAGGCAAAGACTTGGGGCCAATATTGAACACATGCCAATCATAAATCCCGGTGATTAAATGATACTGAAGCATTTTATTCAAAGCTAAGGTTTTACAGCACTGGTCCTCAACCTTTTTAACCTCAAGGCACCCCTCCATAACTTTTCTGAATTTTGAGGCACTCCAGCTGAAAGTGACTCAGCCCCAATCTGCATCAGAAGGGGGGCAGAGAGATGCCTTGAGGCTAAAAAGATTAAGAACCACTGATCTAACTGCTGCCAGGTAAAGGCAGCAGTGGTAGGACCTGACTCTACTGTGCTCTTTCCACTGCTGCTCCCTCCCTGCCTGTCTGTACCTGAGGGGGCAATAGGAGCCCCTGCTGCTGAAACTGCTCCTGCAGATGCCAGCAACCATCCCTGCAGCTCTGTTGGCTGGTCCCAGGAGTGCAGGAGGAGCAGATGGGGTGAGCCAGGCTGCAAAGTGTGGCTCCAACCCCTTGTCTGCTTGCAACAGAGAACATTGCTGGGAGCGTGGACACAGTTGACACAGGGGCTGCCAGGGAGTAGGCAGCAGTTACCAAAGGAGCAGTCACAGTCTCTGACAAGTAGCAGAGGCAGGCACAGGGCACCAGACTGGGGGAGAAGAGCTTTTACTTTCTTGGACAGGGGCTGGGATCTCGCAACTAGAGTACCAGGCACGAGTCTGGTTTAAAGTAAGAAGGACCTAAAGCTGCAAGGCCCTAAAGTGCGAGCTACATCTAGACGTGTATGTGCAGAGGCAGTAGGTGATTAGTTTTCTATTCATTAGAGTGAATGTCTTTCCATCTTGACTGGCAACCTCTTTAGTGTACCAGCCTAGGATTTTTCCATCGCAACACCACATGCCCTAATGCCACCCAGAGTAACAATTCCCAAAACAAGAATGCCTTAACAGTGTGTTTCATGTTCAAGCATCATAAGCTCAAACACCTGCAGCAAACATCTCCAGAGAAGATTTTTTTAAAAACAACTCTATGTTTGTAAACAATGCTGGGCTGACAGCTGCTTCTATCCATGCAGCTTTTAGAGAACGAGGTAAAAGCAACCACACACATGTATAGGCCGATGTTGGGATGCATCTTGCTAAGGATGAAAGGATTTGGTTCATTTTGCACACCGTCTCCTTAATTCAGTGACTAATAACTACAGTTGGACCCCTGAGTTACGTGGGGCATATGTTCCTGGAAAACACCATGCAAGTTGAAACCGTGTAACTCGAGGCATTAAGTCAATGGAAAACAGGGGGATAGGGACCTGGGACCAAGATCTGATAACATTATTTCATAATAAAAGGATATTTAAAAACAAAATAATAGAATTAATAGCCTTATTAAAACCTTTACTCCCAGCTATGTGCTCATAAAGAGACAAAGCTTTAGCCCTAATTGCCGCACTGTCAACAACTGCTCCTTTTGCATTGGTCATTTCATTGATCCAAAGATTAAGGAGTTTCTCAACCTTATTTAAATGAGGAATTCTAGTCACCAACAACACACAAACTCACAGGGGTTGTCATTTTCACACAGACTCTAATTTTTTGCTCACTTTTTTTAACGGTACGCACAGTCGTTTCATTTAAACTGTATTGGTGAGCAATCGACGCAGCACTATTGCCTTCTCTTAATTTATCAAGGATTTCTATTTTCTGGGCCAGGTTGATAGACTTAAGTGCTCTTTTGGGTACAACATCAAAGGCTTTCTTTGATGCCATTTTCACAGATATTCAGGGGTTAAGGTAACCAAAAATGATGGACAATCTTGGAGGAGACAAGAAGTGATGCTAATGCTATGTAAGCAGACTCCAAACTAACAACCACTCTACCGCAAACAGTGTAAATGTGAAGCAGGGTATCACGTAAGTTGAAACATGGTCATGTTATATAAAGTGCGTATACATGAATCAGTGTAACTTGAAATCACATAACTGGGTGTCTGACTGTATATGGCACCTGTGCCCACAGTGGGCACCTGTATCAGTGGTCTTGGAAGAAAGGCTGAGATCAGCTCATTTCAAAGACATCCCACCACTACCCAGCATGTTTTATATTGGGCTCAGCAACCAGGGTAAGGATTTGGGATGACTACAGATATTTTAGGATGGCTACAGATAAATAGCCCTTGGACTGCTACAGATGATGAATATTTTACAAATGAAAAGAAAGAGGGAACAGTGATTCAAAGGGAACATTTAGATAAAAAGATCAAAAGAACAGGGAATTTCAGGACTTCACTCCCCCATCCGATCCCTATTCTTGGATAGGATGCGATTCTCACTATGAAATATCAAGATTTCCCAGAAAAATTGTTTATCCTTTTTAAGAAAACTTCCTGGCTCAAGTAAGATTAACAAAACTCCGCCAGAGAGAATTATTCTTGTTAGCCAGCATTAAGCATAAACAAGATTGAAGTAAAAATAAAAAGAATAAAATTTTGTAAAGTCTTCTACAAGACTTTTTTTTTTTTTTAAAGGCAACTATTTTATGTATACACAAATACAGATCTACACACCCATTTATACATGTAGATAGATAGATAGATATAGAGATATATCTATCTATAGCTCTCTATATATCTATCTATCTATCTACACACACACACACACACACACACACACACACACATATATATATCAAAGTTGGACTTTGAAATATGTATTAGTGTCTATATGTGTATATATGTGTGTGTCTCTATATATATATATATGAGACACACACACACACACACACTTCAAAGTCCAACCATAACCATAATATATATTTCAAAAATCCAAACATTGTAGCATAAGCAGCTAGAAACTGACCAACTGCAAAAGTGAAACTTGATTAACTGACTTGAATGGTTCAAACTGACATATGAAAAGCCCACAGAAGATGCTAATAGTAATGCAGGGAGCTTGATTACAACATGTGCTGCTTATGTCACAGGGAAGTAAAAGCTAGAACCACTATGACTATAGTTAAAACTGAAAGGCAAAGAAAACCTGTTATAAGGTGCTTTTCACCCATAAATTTGAGTGCTTTAGGAAAGTGCTCATTAAGCCACACACAAACCTATGGACCAGGTTAAATATTATACAGGTGGAAAAAAGGCAGGGAGGGTGTAGGGCTTGTTCAAACTGACAGCCCCTGACAGTTTGGAGCAGAACATAAGAGTTTTGACTCTCAACCTGTCCACACTTACATTAGGGGATAAAAACCCCGCTATCTTCCTCATGGTAGTGTTGGAGTGACGCCGCAAGCCTGAGGCTCAAAAAATATGCAAGCAACAAGGATTTTTGTGGAAGTCTACCAAACACAGTCAGTTCAACAGGAGCCAGACAAGCTTTTGAATGCAGCATAGTCTTCTTCAGGGTTGCTCAGAAAGATTTTATGTGGGCAGTATCTACTGGATCAACTACCTAGTTAGGAGGGTCTGCCTGCCTCTTATTTGAAAGAATTAAAAGGCATACCTTCATGCCCGGTAATGACTAATTAAAGCAAATTACTTTACCCACCCACATCATCTGCCCAGGCGCAGAGAAGTCAGACAAGGAGTCAAAACACAGTCACACACCCGTCACCCAACCCCACATCAGCAACAGGTGGCAGTGAACAACTTCAATTCTCCAGCCCGAGGGGGATTTTCCAACAACAAGGACAATAGCCGCCTGGGCTGCAAATGCAGGAAGCCGTTTTCTTTGATGACGAGGGAGGCGGCCACCAGAACTGGATCTCCTGAGGGCCGGACACCTGCCAGCCTCCCGCATGTGTCTCTGACCATCTCTAAGAAACAAATGTGTGAGTCTACTTCAAGTCAGGGGGTAGGGGTGCAGGCACCAAAATGTCAAGTATTTCTCAGTGTGAGTTCTTTATTTGACCACCCGTCAGGGGGGCTCAACCTCCGGCCGGGGATCCACATGAGCCACTCGCACGTAGAGATCCCTGCTAAAGTCTCTGGCGGTCAAGAGCTCCCTCTCCACAGGGGGCCTCCCGCCCCA